TATCAACACGGACTGGCTTCATTCACTTCCTCCACTGCCGTATGCTAAACTAACTAGTAGACACTGCAGAAAAGCGACGTTCAAAACTCCTCCTTCTGTTTGCTGATTGGCCCAGGTAAAATAAACTACAAGCAGACACTGCGCAGAAAATCGAYKTTCTGTTCTTTGATTGGACCAGATGAAATGCTCCCGAAGAAATCCTTGTCTATGGGAGAAATCCCAGACAGAGCAGTGAAGGGAAACTAGAATTGAACAGAACTGAGTAGGAAGGTAAGGGCCAGGGCTAATTACCAGCTGGTGGCATTGAGCTATTTGCCAGTCACAATTAAACATAGTAGAAGAAGAAGACCCTGAAAACATACACAACACAACAAGGGATGACATGGTAGTGTTGTTTTTGCAAACAGCTGATCAGGTTGTTGTGACAGTAATTGTTGTGATGCAACTAGTGACTCCACCCCCTAACCAATCAGTGATCGACAATCTTCTGATGTTRCGTTTTCAGCCCAGCATGGAACGCTTGGAAAACAGTGCAGTATGTCCTGAAAACGGGGCTAGTTCAGCAAATCCTTGCTAGTGGAAAAGCCAAGAGCCAAGTCAAACTGTAGCGGCACAAGTGGAAACGGGACATTGGTCTGGTCTACAAGTTTTATGGATTTATAGCAGTTTTCCAACCAGCGTCCTTGAGGAACGCCATCCTGAATGTTCAGTATTAGTTGTTTCTCTTCTGTTTAAAGAGGTCTTTAAATGTTTCAGAGGCTTGTTAATCACTCATTCATACAAATCAGGTGTGTCAAAGCAAGGGAAACGTCTAAAACATGCAGGATAATGTTCCTCAAGGACCAGGGTTGGGAACCACTGATTTACAGAAGGTTATTCAGTGGGGGTACAGTGGTTTATTACAAGGGCTATACTGTTTCTGTATAACAAAAGCATTTAAAGCAGGTAAAATAAGTATTGAACACGTCAACATTTTTCTCAGTAAATATATTACTCGAGGTGCTAATGACATGAAATTTTCACCAGATGTCGGTAACAACCCAAGTGATCCATACATACAAAGAAATCAAACATA